TTTTTTTCTGTGTGACCTACGTTATAAATACTATTACATTTATTCGATATCTTACAGTAATACATGAATAGATAATCTTCAGCGATTGTTATTTCAATTTAAGGCTCCTTCTCCCTCAGATAAGAAAAAAGCAATTTTCGTCAGAAATACCTATTTGTAGATTTATAAGTAGTTAAATAGCCTATAATCTATATTTTCGAATGCATTATGATTGACTGGTTTTATGATGGTTTCTGAAGGTTTTACAGCAGTTTTACTGAAACACCCTGCATCAAAAAACTGTTTTTTTAGAACTTCAACCATTGAAACTATTTGAATTTTTCTCTATACCACTTTTTACAGAAAAAAAAACGCAATAATTAAAGTAAAAACTTATTTTGCGTTTTTCTCGAAGCTGTGTTTTTGTGTTTGGCCTCCCCGTGTGACACAGATTTATTTCGTCAGTTTAAATGCTGCAAAGTTCGAAAAGGTTTTTAGATGAAGCAAAAGCTCAGCTCTATAATCTAACAAAGCCAAAACTTTTGCTTTCAATTTAATTGGTTACAAAAAAATCGAGTTTTCTGACTTGTTTTTTGCAATTTTTTCCACAAAAAACTCGAAACAAAATTCTCTTTTCAATAAACCGGTTTTGCTACGTTCTAGTGGCAAACTTTTTCTACATTTTGACACTACCTCGAGGTCTGCATCATCAAAAATGCGAAAAACCTTTGGCACAAGGACACCTTATTTTTGTCTCTTAATATTAGGATAACTCTCGCAAAACCCGATATAATGAGCTCAACTGAGGATATGGCTGAGATATTGCGTCTCATCGCACATTGACATTCTTCTCTCAAAAGGATGCCGAGGTCGACTCTCAAAAGCTAAAAAAGTATTACTTATTGAATAAATGTTTGTCTTTTGTAGTTGTAATATTTTCACTGATATAAATAGAAAAAAAAATTACTGATCAAAGAAAATTCTCGCTGATAAAAACAGAAAAATTACTGATCAAAAAAAAATATATTCGCTTATCAAAAACTACTGATCACTTTGTAAAAAAACAACTGACAATTCGGTATAAAAAACTGATCATTTAAATACTACCCAAAAAAAATTAGTTCGCATTGAAACTAGTAAAGATGAGTTATATGTATAAGATGGTTGGATATTTTTGTCGGATTGTGATTGAGATGCATTATATCTACTTTGTGTTATAGTTAATCGAAGTTTAACTAAACTATTTTGCTTCTGAATCGATCGTGGACGAGGTGAACTTCTGGTTGGTTTCCAATTATTTTGAATTGTATATGGTGCATATTTAGGTTTATTCATTGGTATTCCAGTTGATGTTAATGCTTGACTTGGTTTATCATTGTGTGACCATTTTTCACCATGAGCTAAACAAAATATAAACAAAATCTGTTAAGAAAATCTTGCTTTTTGTTATTTTAAATAAAAAATTGCTTTACCAATCCAATCAAGTCCTTTCAATTCTTCGTTAGGTAATAAACAAATTCCAATTGTATATTTTAATGAAATAGGAATTGCAATAGTACAGACAGAAGCAAAACCTATAGATAAACCAATAAATCTTATTTATTTACAACTAATATTTAATCAATATGCCAATAGCAGTTAATATTCCAGCTATTTGATACCACATTTGAACTGGATGTCCATAGAAAGCTCCATCAGCACCAGCTGGATTCTATGATAATTGACAAAATAATCCTGTCATGAATGTACCAATAATTCTACATAAAATCAAAATACGTTTTTTTTATAATTTCTTAAAAATCTTTCTGTCTAATAACATACAGCAACCGTGAACCACAGCAACATCTAAAGTATCATTAAATATCAAATGATGTTTATATAGAAGAAGAAAATAAATAATAATTGTTGGAATTATTCCAAATAATAATGCCCAACCAGGTTGAACAAAACTACATGCTGGTATTATACCAACTAAACCAATAACAGGACCAACACATACACCAGATACTGATACTTGACCACGAATAGCATCAATTATGACCCATGTTACTAATCCTGCAGCTGCATATGTATTTACTAATGCTAATAATGCTAAACCACTAAAATAAAAATAAAATATACAACTCATTTATTTGAATGAAATATTAAAAAAAGTAATAAACCTTGCTACATTAGCTGAACCGGCATTAAATCCAGTCCAACCAATCCATCATAAACAAGTAGCAAGAACTGTAAATGGAATATTATGAACATTGGATGCAGGAGGTTTATAATCAATACGTTTTCCTAAGATTGATGAAGCAACAAAACCTGATACACCAGATGATATATGTACAACTGATCCATCAGCAAAATCTAGTGTTCCTAAATGTTTTAACCAACCATTATCTCCCCAAACCCAATGTGCTAATGGATTATAACAAACAGTTGTCCAAATTGCTATAAATATCATATAAGGAATTACTTTCATTCTTCCAACAATTGCTCCTATTGGATAAGAAAAATAATTCCTGACATCATATATTTTATTTTCTAAATAAACCTGATATAAGTGCTGATGTAATAATTGCAAATGTTCCTTGATATGCTGCATATGTTAATAATGGATGAGTTAGACTATAGAAATCATCTAAACGTTGTTCAAATCTTAATGCTGAATCACCAAATGAACCAAAACCAGCACCATCTTGACAGTGTTGGTGTAGATGTGAGTATAAATGTAGGTGTGGGTATAGGTTTTGGTGTGAGTATTCTATTCTTTCAACACTCACACCCACGCCCTGGCGAGCAATTGTCCGACGAGCAAATGTCTTTTCCAGCAACTGTCCATACGAGCAAATGTCCTAGTGAGCAAGTATCCTAAACCCGTATTTATTTAATACCAATAACGGTTTACCTTTATTCGTCAATAAAAAAGAAAGTGGATCGTGCATCGATAACAATGGAGGAACGAATGAAGTGTTCAACATTGTCGTCGTACTGGTTATATAGTGAATTTTTACAACGAACGACTATAGATAATAGATACTATGGACTATTAAGCTGAAGAAATCGAATCAGTCCGTTAACAATCAATAATAGTAGAGAGAATTAAAAGACATATACTGCGAATATCTTTCTCATTCTACTTTACCATTTTCGATTTTCACATTCTGCATTTTCTTTCCGTTATATCTTCTTTTGATATTTTTCTATTCATCATTTTTATTTTCGACGTTTTCCGTTAATCCCATATACAAGATATTACCCTATAATTTATGCACAACAATTTCAAATATCTCGAACAACTCGTAAATCGCTGACTACGATACGACGATTTGAAATATATTTAGCAAGCGTATATGAGTTTCTTAAAACTTTACAAACACATGCGTATTTTAAGCTTACGCATTTGACTAGAATGATGCAGTCATTTCATGTCATTACATTATATGAGAAAACATATAGAATAGTAGTTAGCGTGCGTCATAAAACACTTAGCCTTTTGTTCAATCATTTATGAGTGTGTTAACGTTTTTATTCTGCGTAATGTGCAACTTTCAGTTGGTTCCGTTTCAACATCAAGACACACATCGCTTTCAAAGAAGACGTATGTTCGCATATAACAGTGTGCTTAGAAAAATAGAAAAAAAAATAGAAAAGATAACACCTTCCTTCTGTACTTGTTGTTTAACTCAAAAGTATAGAGCATTTTATAGGAAAGAATCATTCTTTTCTGATAAATGAACGCGGGTGACAAGGAAAAAACTGCGCAAAAAAAATCTGCAAATTATTCTTATTTCTTTGACGTGAAGAAGAAGCAACTAATCTATTTTAGTCGACGATATCTATTAATTCTATATATATAAAATCGATTATTTCTTGGTAAGTATTATGTAATCTATTTCTGTAATAAATTATTCTTTGACTGGAGAAGAAATTTTTGTTTTTATAAAAACTTACAAGAAATCCGATCGAAGTGAATTGGAGCTCTTAGACTGAAATTTTGTGCATAAGTAGAGTCCTATAAGGCTAGACATATTCTAAAAGCATCAGGGTTCATGTACCTTGCTTTTTGAATTATGACCATTGTGTTGCGCATATTGTCAATGATCAGGGATTCACTTAAAAATCATACTGTCAAATTTCGATCTGAAATTTTGCCTGTAGATAGAGCTAATGATTCTTACAATATCCTGAAAGTTTCAGCCGAAAAGAATATTTCTGTCGATTGAATCTTAAAAAGATATTCGTTTGCCACAAATATGTCACAAAAACGAGTTTATTTCATAAATCAATATCTTGACAGAGGAAAATGCTTTTCTCCTGAAATTTTCAGGATATTGTAAGAGTTATTAGCCCTATCTACAGGCAGAATTTCAGATCAAAATTCAATAGTATGATTTTTAAGTGAATCCTTTATCATTGACAATATACCCAACAAAATGATCATAATTTAGGAAGCAAAGCACATGGGCCCTTATCTTTTTTTAGGATTTATCTAGCTTTGTAGGACTCTACTTAGGCACAAAATCGCAGCCTCAAAGCTCTGAATCACTTCGGGTGGCTCCCTCGTTAGTGTAATTTTTTCAATATTAAACTGGAAAATTTGGTAAAGTAGATGAAGACGAAAGGATTTCTTATACTTGTGTGCCAGCATCTGAAACGTAATGAAAAGGCCAACATGCTAATAGCTGGTTATTAAATTAAGAATAAGTCCAAGACTTTCTCACCATATGTTGCCACAATCATTTATATTTGAAATTTACAATAGATTAGCCACACATTACTAATCAATTTAACGTACTATAGAGATCTATTGGCCTGAATTTTGTTGTCCTAACTATTTTTCGCATTAAATAGTGAACAATGATTAATTGCTGTTTGATTTGTTCGTCTTATAGATCGCACAACAGCGAAATGACGATGTTTATAACTATTCTGATTATGTTAGCTTTTATTGAAAGAAGCCATGCACACATACTGCTATGTAATACCGAAACAAATGGTCTATGGGAGTACAGTGATTGTGTTTACTACAATTCCCGTTACAATAACACGATAAAATACTGTGTTCGGCCTGACAACGTATCTGCAGCGATTGAATGCGCAAATGAAGGCGAAAAATGGCTTTTTAAAGATTTTCTAGCAAATAATATCTCACCTAAAGATGTTTTAGGATGGAGTTCAAGTATAGAAGCAGCAGATAATTATGCTCACGTGTTCTATAATAGATCGGCAGTATTCTCAGCAGACACATTTCTCTGCAAATGCGCAAATAATACGTCATTTGGAAAATATTGCGAGTATGTACTTTTTAATGCTCAAACAACTATTGAAGATGCTATTCAGCTTCAATTTGCCTTGAAACTCAATAAGATAACGAACCATCGCTGGGCTGCCATTCTATGTTATGAGACATTGTCGTGTAATTTTGGACTGCTTTGTCTCGACTGGAGAAATATATGTGATGGAGAG